CCGGGGGGCCCACCTCGGTTTAGGGAGGTTTTTTTTTTTTTTTTTTTTTTTTTTTTTTTTTTTTTTTTTTTTTCAAAAAAAAGCCGGCCCTTTGCCTCTTTTCCTTTTTGGCTAATACCGTTGGATTTGTTTTTTCCTACTATAATTTGCCAATGTCATCGTTTTGTATGCACAATATTTAAATTGGGGAATAAGGAAGTGGGGGCTGCAGAACACCCCAAAAAGCGCCTATATAACTTGGAACGCAGCTAACCTCCAGCCAAGCAGAACCAACTACTACCGCCGACCGGTGGTGGCTGTCTAGGTGACAATTATGTAATTAAAGAGGTATATCAATGTTGAAGACGAAATTTTATGGGTAGAAAAGCAATTTAAACATCACCAAAAATTCAAGATTTTCTATGGCTGAATGACAAGATAACATGTATGCATTACAGAGTCACGCTGACATGTACAAATTAACACGTCAATGAACAGTCCATAAAAACTATTGAAAAAGGCAATATTAAAAGGCATGAGTGATTTTCAATAGTAAAAGAGACCTATATTTGTAGTAACTATTGAAAATCACTCATGCCTTCATTATAGGATATCTCAGGAAAAAGGCAATATCCTGCAAACAAGCAGCATCTTGTGTAACCAAAGAGACCTATATAGGATATCTCAGGAAAAAGGCAATATATATACATATATATATATATATATATATATCACGTATGTAGATCATAAGTACGTACCTACAGAATACAGTACTAGAACAGGAAAAAAAATGGAAACAATCACTATGGCCTGTTCGTTTGCCCTAATTTACTCAAGAAATGTCCACTTGAGTAAGGAAACTGGCCCAAGTTCACGTTCGGTGTTTGAGAACTTGAATTCGAACTCAGAAATGAATTCGAGTTACAACCCATTTCTGAGTTGTACTCTCCCTTGCGATTCGAGTTATTTCTCTGCACTTATACAGTGCAGATTCTGAGATCTGCTTACCGTTTCTCGTGGTTCTCTTGTAATCGATATTCTCCGAAATTCTTCTCGCTTATCGTTCGACCAACAGCCACGATCTGCTCCTTCAACGTTATTCCATCGATTTCTGAGAGCTGTGCGTTGTTGAATCACTTTTCCCCCAATCTCATATTTCAACCCTAGCCCACCATTTTGGTTCCCATCTGCATCTTTTGTGTCCCCCTTCCCCCACCATTATCATCGTTCTTGTTTCCCCTTCAAAACGGGGAAATTTGTGGGGACTCCGTTGGTTCGGCAACCTCGGTGGGTGAACATCGTACTTCGATGTAGAGGCAACAGTGTGCGCCGTCGATCTCTCCAGCCGAGACGTCAAACCTACTTCCCCTACCTCTGTCGTCGCCGGTACCTCAGACTTGTTAACCCTTCCTCGTGTTTGGGGAATCTCGAAGGGAATCCAATCTCCTCCTCCATAGGCTCCAATTCGGTAAGTATTTCAACTACTTGTTCAGTTTGTGGGAAAAACTCATTTCAGTTTTAGATGATTTCTTTAGTCTCTAGTTTGCATTCCGAGCAAACCCTTTTGGTGAATTCATTATGTTCTCTGAAAACAAACATTGCCATTTCTGAATTTTTTTTGGTGATTTCGATCTCTATACTTCATCGGAGCACTAATATTTACCCCTGTTTGTTCAGTTTCTAGAAAACAAAAAAAAACAGAAACTGTATCTGGTTTTTCAGTTTTTCTGCATTCGTAGAACTAGTATTTTGGTGAATTCACATGGTTTCTGGTGATTTTTCTGGTGCTTTCTCAGCCTCTAGACACTCGGCTCATTAGATTTTGGAACCCCATTTTTTCAGTTTGTGAAAAAAATAACATAACTATAGGTCTATAAGCAGACTTCATCGGCTCACTAGTATAGAAACAGTTTCTATAATTGCATTCTTAGAACTAGTATTTGGGTAAAAGTTATTGGTAGTTTGTCGGGAAACAATGTATATGGTTTCTGGTGATTTTTTGGTGATTTCAGCCTGTAGACACTCGGCTCACTAGTATTTGGGAACCATTTTTTGATCAATTTCTGGAAAAAAACCAGACACTGTTTCAGGTGACTCCTGCCCCCATTTGCATGGTCGTATGAGTTTGTACCAAACATGGATGAACCAAACTAATCTTGTGGAAAATTTTAAGCTTAATTTTAGGTGTAAGGCCTGTGTTACGCCATAAATCAAATGAACGAGAGGAATAACAATTTTAAAGAGTTGAATTTCCAACGTAACATTCTCGTGAAAAACTCTAGCATAATTTTTATATCATAAATAAATAATTAAACTTTTAAAGATATCAATCATGTCTTCACGTTCCTAGCCTAACGGCCATTTAGGATCTATTAAGAACATAAGTAGAATAGAAAGGACCTAACTCATACATTGATGAATTAATATTTAGGGAGTTCAAATCATATTAGCTTTAGACCCTCTACTTTAGTTGTTTAAGTGAGACTTTTGCCATGTGGTCTTTGAACGTGGCTTTGCTACACATGTGTCTAGCGCATGTGCATTTTGCTTTGTTTTTACAATCATCAATGGAAAATAAAGTTATATAACTTAGTGACAAGAAAAAAAAAAGGCAGAGAATAGCTTTTCATTATTGTGTTTAGAGGATCTTAAGGATAAACGCAATACACACACACAATATATTAGAGGGGGCATTGGTCTCTATTCATGAATAATCCAGCATTACTTAGCATAATTGTTTAGCTATACAAACCATTGATGAACATAAAACATTGATGATCCAAATAGAATCAAACTTTAATGAAAAACCACGAAAAGCAAAAAAGACTCCAAACGATTTCTGGGCATGTTCTGTTGTAGGTTGTACTTTGTATTGATATGATTATTGATTATCAATCGCTGTGCATTAACTCATTGATACCTGCCGTGTTTTTATATTGCTCATGTGTCTATTTGGAATCCCTTGTTGTGCAGTTTCTGGAAAAAACCTGAAACTGTTTCTGGTTTTTTCACTTTCTAGATTGCATTTGACCATGGCTATGATGATGTAATTGTATTTAATGGCCTAGTTCATTATGTCGAGTAATATTCGATGGTTGGTTAATATTTGGTTGCTGGTTGATCCCATTAGTCTTAGTTGGTATGGTTCATTTAATTCACTTTGAATGCCTTGCTTGAGCATTCTGCCGACGTTAGCTAATACTTTGGTAGCATATTGGTTGCCGGTTTATAAATAACCTCATGGCATAATGTTCGTTTGCTTCGGGTTTAAAGTGTTTTGCCAACCTACCACTAAGATTAATTGAACATAAACCTGTTGGTTGACGAATCGAATCCGGCTGCGGAAGCGCGGTGGTGCGGGGAAGAGGCGGATCGTGTATAACAAAAATTTTCATAAAACTTTTGAGATACTCTATAGATTATAATGAATTTTGTATGCTATGTACATACGTATTGCTGCCATATCGGTATTGTCAATACTTAGATGGCTGCGAGAAGGAGAGATAGAGATGTAAATTGGAGCCCATAAGTTGAAGAGCAACTGCTTAGACGTCTAGGTGAGTTCAATTTATTGAACTCTGCCGGTACCACTCCGAACCGAGAGAAATTCACGCAATGGGCAACGGAGCTAAGTCACCATTTCAGCGTCCCACTTGGTTGGGATAAAGTTAAACAAAAAACTGCTAGGTTGAAAAAAACATTCGAAGCAGAGTTCCTACTTCAGACTGCTATTGGCCTTGGTTGGGATCCAATTGAGAAGCAACCAACGTGCACCGATCAATATTGGCAACAATTTGTCACTGTAAGTTCATCATTTGTTTTCTTTAATTGTTTTACATCTTGCTGTCTTACTTTGTCATTGAGGAAAGGGGATTTTTCATATTGTTTGCATTGTCATTATTATTGTATATGCAGAGCCATCCGGAGGTCGAACGGGCTAGAAGGAAGCCGTTACCGGATTATGATTTGTATTTCTGTGCATTTGTGAATTCACGTGCAACCGGTGTAAATGAGTACGGCCAACGCCAATCCCAGGCAACCCAATTGACATTGATGGCGGGTCCCAACGCTACAATGATACGGGCGATACTTCATATACAGAAATGAGGCATGGTGTAAGCGCTGGTGGCGGAACCCCACATGTTGCGTCACAGTCCCAGCCAAATAATAAACGGTCAGCAAGAAACAGTCAGACACGCGTGCCAAACTTCATGGAGCGTGCAATGGATCGCCTTGTATCATCTATTGAGGACCACGGTCGAAAGCGTGGTAAAAGTTCCGCCACCCCTCAGTCGGTTGAGAAGGAGACATCCCAGGACAAATGCATTGATTTACTTGGAGAGGTGGACATACCTCAGGATCAATATCTTTTCATGTTCAACTATTTGAATGCTCATGCTACACTGCATCGGCCGTTTTTGCGAATGAAGGAGCATCAC